GCCTCTGCCGGAGACTGGATGAGCTGATCTTCTCCTCCTCGTTCTGACTGTGGTCAGGGTCCTTCATCAACAGGATCTCGTAGAGAGCCAGCTCGGGGAGCCCCTGCCGAGAGGAGAGAGCCCCGAAGGCCGTCATCCCCAGGCCAGAAGGGACGCAGCAGAGGGAAGGGGGCTCAAGTGGGAGGTCAAGGCCCAAATGAAGCAGCACAAATGAGGCCGTGGCCGCCCCCAGCGTCCCCCACGGGACAGCTCCGTCCCCATAAGGGGCACGTTCCCGGGGCAGCCAAGAGGGGAAGGGAGCACACAGAGCTGCCCGTCTGACTCTGACCCTCCCTGCGCACGGGGCTGGCGGCACTGCCCGGGGTCGTGCCACGTGCAGAGGCTGCTGCACCACCCTCGGGGCGCACGTGGCCGGGGGCAGCTCAGCACAAAGCACCTGTCTGTGGGGTGCCATCACATGCGTACGCTGGCATCCTGCCCTCAAGCCCGGGCCATGGCACGCTGGGGCACCGAGCAGCCGCGGCCGCTCACCGAGACCCAATTTGGCCACAGCCAGCGGCAGGCAGGGGTGAGAGGGTGGGAAGGGGCAGCCCACCGGGCTCCTGCGCAGGCATTACGTTTTCAAGTCTCTTCTTGTTCACGGCCTCCCCTCCCTTGCGGGTCTCCTCGCTGACCACCAAGCACCGCAGGTCGGGGTCCGTGACCGAGGGGCCATAGGGGTCGGCCAGAGGCACGATGTCGTAACGCAGCGAGGGCTTCACGTCCTCCAGGAACTCGCGCAGTTTTGCCGCTCGCAGCTCATACGGCTCGATCAGCTCCATTAGGACCTTGTCTGCCGGGCACCAGGAGGGTGGAGAAGCAAGAGAGCGTCTGTTTAACAACGTGCAGCTCCCAGCATGGCAGCGGAGAGCGACGGAAAAGCAAGACCAGGAGATGGAGACAAAACCTGTCCATGACTTTGGGAGGCTCCCTCCTCCAGCTCCCCTCGCCCCTGCTGCACCCTCAGCTTGGTGTGTGCACGCCACGATCGCTGGCGTGGATGGGGCGCTGGGGCCCCCCCGTCACCCTGCCCCG